GACCTCGCTGGACCCTCTCCCTGGCGCGCGGAGCCTGGCGCGCGGAGCGCGCCAGGGGCGGCGCAAAAGGCACCGCCAGGGGGGCTCAAGCGCCGACCTTGGAAATCCGCGCGGAGCTCTGAAAAAATGTGTTTATGTATATATATATACATATATATATATATATGGATATATATGGATGTGTGTATATTATATGTTATGGAATATATAATAATATAATATTATATTTATATATATATATCCATAATATATAAAATATTATTCGACGAAAGAAGAGGGGGGGGGAGGACCAGGACCAGGAGCTGAAGGAGACGCCCCCACTTGCATTTCGCCGTGAGCGGCCGCCTCAACTGTCCTCCACGCTCTACCCCCGGAGGCCCCGAGGGGCGCCTGCTGAAGGCCAACCGGAGGACCAGGAGGGACCAAGATCGCCCAAGCGCCTCGATCCTCGAACATCCACGCTCGATCATTGATCCTCGAGCCACCTCTGCGCTCCTCCCCCTCTTATCCCTGTCGGGTGGAATCGAGCTCCACAAAGCTACCCCAGAACTCCAACGCACTGCAAAGAAGGCTGCACACACTTGCCAGGACTCTCTTCTTTCTTTCTCTCTTTTTTTTTTATCTCTCTCTCTCTCTCTCGCTCTCACCATTTGCACCACCGTAGCATTGTGAGGCTGGCGCTTTCCGGTGCGACTGTTTCTTGGAAACGGCCTGGGGTCTGAACTGGATAGGCCCCGAGAAACTCGGTCAGGAAGGGGGCACTTGGGCAAATCCGCTCCAAAATCGGTCCCTGGACCTCTCTCCCTCTGGCAATCTGGTGCACCTTTTCACACCGGATCCGTGCCTGACGGCCCCGGGAACCCGCAAACAGCCCTGGAGCCCAGGAAGGCGCCCAAAAACCTTCCCGCACCCGGAACCTCTGACCTCGCCCGCCCCCCCCTGCCGGCTGACCGGAGCCACTGCTGGGCCACCTCGGGCCCCGGGCCGACTTCAAGCTTCCCCGCCTCCCTCTCGCCAATGGGCTCGTCATCTTTTCGTTGCAGGCTCGCTCTTGTCCTCGTGCCGCCTGCTGCAAAACGAAACTGAAACGAAAACGGACCACGAGATCACCTCTCTGACGAGCCCTCCTCTTCCCCTTCTCTTCCGTTTTGCTGACGAGCCCTCCTCTTCCCCTTCTCCGCAGCCGAAGTCTCCTATGGTCTCCTTCGAGTGTTGCCAGAGGTGCCCCTGGCCCAAAAATGCCCCCAAACTCTCCATGGAGACCCCCTACGGCCTCCATGAGCACCCCTCACGAGGCCTGGAGGGCCCCTGAGGTTCCAAAATGGAGCGAAAAGCTGGGGGCACCTCGCGAAAGAGGTACATGTAGCAGCTTCCGACTCACTGATCCTCAGAACGTGTGTTGGCGACAACTTTTGCTTGTCAACCGATGCCTTTTAATGCGAGGCAGGCGGCTCAAAGAGGGCCGACACTCGGAGGGACGTAAGAGAGGGGTAGGTGCAGAAATGGGGTTAGAGGAAAGTCGCTCCAAATGCCCCCCCTGGCAGAAGGAAACATGAGCGTCCAGGCTGGTCCGTTCCCCAGCCCCGCCTTGGGATGACCAATGACCAACTCTGCGAACCCCCGAGACACAAACTGCGCGCTGTCGGCGGAGCCGACCGGGGTAAGCACACGCTGCGGCGCGCCTGGCTTGTATGTTTGGCGGCGCGCCTAAGGGGGTTGGGGGAGGGGAGAGGGCTTCATAGAAGGAGGCTGCTTCCTAAAAGGCACCGGCCTTACATCTATAGATAAGGCCCGCGCCTTCTAAGAAGCAGGGGTGCTTCTCAGAAGCCCGCTGTTGCCTTCTAAGAAGCAGGTAAGGCCGCGTTGTTTTAGAGAGTACGCATTGCGCGGACGTTCGTATCACGCGGCCGGTCTCGCGGAGTGGGGGGCCGTGTCCGCGTACGTGGTTGAGCGCTTACTGAGTATCGTTTAACCGATCCCCATCCCCAGCGGCGCGGCCTGGGCCCCACTGGCCGATTTGCCCCCCTAGATGGGGATACAGGCAGCTCCCTTCGGGTTTCGAGGGGTGTATCCCCAACTGGGGGGGTCATTTGGTGGGGGTCTCGAAAGGGATGGGGATGGGGATGGGGATCGGTTAAACGATACTGACGTACGTCGTTTTGTGGGCTCTCCCGATAGGGGGGGGCGAGCGAGCGAGTGACCACCAGTGCGGACAGCCGTCCGGGCCTATCTGAGAGGAGGCCGTGGCCTCAGGGATCATCCGTATTCCGTGCCGCGCGGAAGGGGAGGAACGTCGTGAGGATCATCGAGGGGAGGGGGGAGGCAATGAAGGAGAGGAACCAAGGGCTCCCAACTTCGCGATTCGCGCTCCGCGAAGCGCGAAACGCGAATAACTTCGCGCTCTCGCGCCGCCCCCCCAAATGGAGAAAAGGAGGACGAGGAGGAGGGGGAGAAGGAACGAGAAGCGCGAAACGCGAATAACTTCTCACCTTCGTGGGAGCCCTTGGGAAGGTGAGGAACGTCGTGAGGATCATCGAGGGGAAGGGGGAGGGGTTGGACGGAAAGGAACGTCCTGAGGATCCTCGAGGGGAACGCTGGGGGGGGTCCCGTACCGCTCCGTCATCTGGGACGAGGTGCATCGCCGCCTGGGCGCGGGGGCGGCGCCGCGGGCAGGAGAGGGCCACGAGCAGGAGGCTCCGAGGGGGAGGAAACCGAGGATCGAGGGTCGCGGGTCGAGGGTCGCGGGTCGACGGTCACGGGTTGAGGGTCGATGGTCGAGGATGAAGGATCGAGGATGGAGGATCGAGGAGGAGGAGGAGGCGGAGGAGGAGGAGGAGGAGGAGGAGGCGGAGGAGGAGGAGGAGGAGGAGGAGGAGGAGGAAGTCAAGGATCGGGGATCGAAAAGCAAGGGTTTGCCTCCTTTTGCCCACTCTGGGGGCCTCCCGAGGCCTGTGGAGGCATTCAGGGACTCCTGGGGCTTTCCGGAAGTCCCAGGAAACGAAGGCGGCGGATTCTTCGCTCGCCAGGATGCGTGCGCGGAGGCGGGGGACGGGCATCTTTGTCGCAGGCATGGCAATCGCGCGAGTCGGTCGAAAAAGCAGGGCTGCAGCAAGTCTCGAGTTCGAGCACAGCGGCACGGAAGGGCGGTGGGGGCGGCGGCCGCGGGAGGGAGGATGGTAAGCGTGCATTGGTCGCGCGTTCTGCCGCGGTGCGGGCGCAATGTGCCAACTGTATGGCGGGGAGCGGGCGGTTGGAGCGACGCGTGGTGTCGCCATCTCCAACGATCAGGAGAAGTGAGGAGACTCAGGAGGAAGAGAGGGGAATATGGGGGTGGAAGCAGGAGGGATGGGGGGGCCAGAGGAAGCAGGGAAGGAGGAGCACGAGGGAGGAGCAGGTGGAAGAGGAGGAGCAGGCGGAAAATTGATGAGGACGAGCAAGAAGAGGAGGAACAGCAAGAGAGGGGGGGGGAAGGAGGAGGAAGGAGAAGGAGGGAGGAGGAGGAAGGAGGAGGAGGAGGAGGAGCAGGAGGAGGAGGAGGAGGAAGGGCAGGAGGAGCAGGAAAAGGAGGAGGACGAGAAGGAGAAGGAGGATGAGACGGAGGAGGAGAAAGAGCAGGATGAGGAGGAGGAGGAGGAGGAGGAGGAGGAGGAGGAGGAGGAGGAGGAGGAGGAGAAGCGCACAGGCATAGCGACGAGAGGAGGGCAGGCGGCCAAGAAGAAGAACGAGAAGAGGGCAAATGAGTTCAGTCCTCGGCGGCGGCAGCAGCGGGGGCGGGCGCGGGCGGGGGCAGGTCCTCGCCTGCTGTGCCGCGAGCGGCTGGAGGTTGGGCCCGCTGCGATTACAGCTAGCTTATGACTCCCGCGCGGCGTCGCGCGAGAACTCTCGCACGGGCGCGGAACAGAGAGAGAAGGCACTCGGGACCGTATCGATCCTGGGTGCGAAACGTGTTATATGAAGTAATATATCATGCACAAGGAGAGCAGGCACCAAGCCTTGACTGATCAGGGGGGTCCCAAAAACACAAAACATATGCTGAAATCGAGTTCTCGCACAGTAATCTGGAGGCAAATGCGGCAACACACTAGGAAGGAACCTCAGAGCAGCGGGACAATGAAGGTAGTGATCAACAGCATCTCCGAATAAGGCTTTGCACCCAAATCGACATGTCAGGGTCCCTGGACGGAACCTCCTCGTAGTAGGCCACGCGTTACAGATAGTCTTGATGAAGGAGACGGCCGCACATGGGCCAGCACGGGAGACAATAATGTTTATGTAGCGCACAACAGCATCAGGAACCTCAGGGGGAACACCGGGCCAGAAGTACTGGATGCGGCGCCCCAGGAGCTGAGACACGAGCGGGGTGGAAGGGCTTCTCTTTGCCTGGAGCCTCAAGGCCCTGTACATTTTCTTCTGAACCTCAGAAACATCTTCGTCAGCAAGATGGGGGGCTATGGCGGTCAGCCTGTGATAATTTTCGAGCCAGGTGAAAGTGATGGAATTCTCCCTCCATTCAGACATGCGAGGGATAGCCAGAACGCCAACATCATAGTGCTCAATACAGTGAAAACGCACAGATATATCAGATAATACAGAGCTACGAACCGCGGCCCGATATAGAGCGGCCTGTTTTTCACAACTCAAATCTCGCGGAACTGCATCGATGCCAAGTTGATCGAGGTTCTTCAGCAGCGGGGTGGCGACGGAATGTCTGGGCGCCGCCGTCAAACGTTGTAGTGCAGCATGCTCGGACGTAGCGACTCGCTCATTCATCGAGTAGAACTGGGCGTCGTACGATAACACCGGCTGCGCCAGCGCGTTGTAGGCCTTGATATTTTTGCACCAACGAGATACGCAGCGCACGGATGTGAGCAACACGTTCGAGTAGCCTCTGGCACGGCGCACGCCAGGACTCGTCTCTGCCATCGCGCCCGAGATACACACCTAGGTATTTGGCACTGCGACCAACTCGAAAGGATAAAACGGGAATGCCGAGAGCTGTCAACTCCTGAACGGCCACTTCGACATCAACATCTTTGCCACTGACGATCCAACACCTGCTAATATCAAGCTGGAGGCCTGTTACACTGCGGGTGATCTGCATCCACTCCAAGTCAACGGGAATGGACTTCGGAAGATCACCTGTACCAATGCCAACATTATCAGCACATGCAAGAGGGCGGGCAGGATGGCCTTCGAGACGGCGGCGAAGACCACGCACGACTGGATCGAATATTAACACGAAAATCAAAGAAGAGAGCGGGCATCCATGCTTCATTCCTCGGGCAATGTGAAAGCCAGGAAATACCGAGCCACAACAAGCCACGGACACGTAAATATTGTTGTTCATCATGCGCACGGCCTGCACGATGTTGGCAGGCACTCCTGGGCCCCTAAGGGCCCGAAAGATCCACCCATGGAAGACGCTCGGGAAGGCCGAAGCGACGTCCAGGAACAGCATGCCAGGAAACGGAAAACCACGGTAACAGGCCCATTCAATCACCCAAGATTCGAGCTCCGCGACGGTGTCCAGAAGGTTACGGCCCCCGATGAATCCCCTCTGACACGATGCAACCGAGAATGTCGCTTGTGTTTGAAAGGGGAACAGCCAGGGCAGTAGACAGGAGCTTGTTATCAGTATTACTGAGCGTTAGCGTGCGTGTTTGTTTAGGCTCAAGGATCGACTTAATCTCTCCGTCGGCAATGCTCGGCAACGTCGATTTTAGGCAAGAATACTAGCATGCCACTGTTAAACCAAACAGGAGGTTCATGGCCACGAAGAAGAGCAACATAAGCCTGAAACAGACAACGTTGAACGGTAGGACTACCGAGCTTCCAACCACTATATGGGACCCCATGGGGGCCCGTAGCCGCTTAATCACGGACAAGAACTCGAACTCCTCCAACTCCCAAGAAATCCCCGGGGAAATCTGCCGGCATTCTCCAGCAAGTTCGTCTAGCACACGAGGAGGAGCACGGAGGGCAGTAGGGGCCCGATGCACATCACCCCACTAGCCGGCAAGGTTCTGAGCGGAATGCACTATGGATGCTGGCGAGGGGTCGAGCGGATCGCCAACCGCAAAGGTGGCCGACTTGCGCCGTTTCACAGACCACGAACGTAGCAGTGACTGTAGCCTAGCCTGTCGAGCAACGCCGGTATGTCCTTGGACGGTGGTACAGTCATTCACGAGCATGGAGGAGATCATATCCGCGTTGGGGGCTCTAAGATACTCGTGGAAACCCACGTAGTCTATGTCGCACATGCGATGGAAGTCGTAGTACATGCTAAGGATAGGAAGAGCATGAAGGCAAGCGCGCAAGTGAGCAGGTCTATGAGCACGTGCAGCACGCATAGACCGCAGAGCGACCGCAATTTGTTGCCTGCCATCTGTCGGCCCATTCCGATACAGCTGGCGGGTGAGAGTGTCTTTGGCGACAAACATGGCGGCCTTGCACTCCTGTAGGCGAACAAAAGGATCGTCACTGAGCGCGAACTCACTCAAGACGCCTGCGACCAGATCAGGGAAATCGGAATGCGCGGTGACCCATCGCGGCAGCGAAGGCGCCCCAGCCCCAGGAGCAACCCGAACAAAAACGGGAACGTGAACAGAACAGCCTTGTCTGTCGCGGACAGGACAGGAAGTCTGCGTGCCGGCCCCGGTAGCCGGAGCGGCCCCCCGAGGGGCAGACGCGCGCATGGCAATTAGGAAAATGCATCGAGTGAAACGCGCGCATGGAAGGCCGCTCACGCATCCAACGAATCTCTCCATCTCAGACGAGGTCGCCCTTGAGATCGTTTGGCTTCCGCCCAGAACCGCGGCGTCCTTGTCTGTCGTGAGCGAGCCCAATGACGTTCGACCGCGCGTGCCAGTCGAGCATCTCTGCCGTTGGAGCTGACCGGCGAATACTCAGGACGACAAACACATAAGACAACGTCACCAACAGAAGTACGATGAGTAGCCTCTTCCTGGGGTACTTCGGCGAAATCTCCAAAAAGCGTGACAAACCTTTGCCACGTGATGCTATCTTCGGGGGGGATGGCGATGCTGCCGTCGATGGCCTGCCTATGCTCGTCCGCCCCAGGGGAGTTCCAATCGCCTCCGAGGCAAGTAAGACCGTGAGACGAGTCGGGCACACTGCGCCTAATACGCGGAAGAGCTCGATGGACACCGCCAGAAGATAATGCGGGGCCCAGGTGCACATTAACGAATACAATCTGCCCAGCGGTTCCCAGGGGCCGAACGAGGAGTACCCGACCTCGAGCGATTTGAGACGAGAACTTCGAAACGAATCTCTTGCTGATGGAAAGGATGACGCCACCAAATCCTGGCAATTCAGGTGCCAGACTCAGCTCAGAGCACGACGAGCAGGGAGGAGGAGGAGGACGAGGAAGACCACGAGGACGAGGACGAGGGAGGGGAGGAAGGGCAGCAGAGACGCGCCACCACTGCACGCGCACCCGCTCGTGGAGGCCCACGACGCACAGCAGTCGAACGTGTCCCACGAGAGCTGCTCGTAGCCGACTCCTGCTGGACAGCCTCCTAGCGCTGTTTGGCAACGATGGAGGCGACGCGCTCCGCCAGCGCATCGATGAAGGCCTGGTCGAATCCCAGCTCCTTCATGTCGTCCTGCGGCGAAATGT